ACACTGCTGCCCATCTCCCCGCTCTGGTCACTACTCTTTTTCTTCATGCTCATCTTGCTGGGGCTGGGAACTCAGGTATGACACACATTGTGTGTGCATGCATGTGTGCATGCATAGCGCGTATACGCGAGAGTATGTGAGTGTGCATGCATGATGGCAGCTTGGGCAGGAGAATCTGGGGCAGAAGGTGGGTCCCTATTCTGATGGCTGTGCCTGTAGTTCTGCCTCCTAGAGACCCTAGTCACTGCCATTGTGGATGAGGTGGGGGATGAGTGGATTCTGCAGAAAAAGACCTACGTGACCTTGGGTGTAGCTGTAGCTGGCTTCTTGCTGGGCATCCCCCTAACCAGCCAGGTAAGAATGGAGATGTGGGGGGTTAAAGCGGGCTTGTACTTGCACTTGGGAAATGGGTGGGTAGCTTGGTCTGGCACACTGGCTCATGTGCCCACTGCCCCATAGGCTGGCATCTACTGGTTGCTGCTGATGGACAATTATGCAGCCAGCTTCTCCTTGGTTGTTATCTCCTGCATTATGTGTGTGTCCATCATGTACATCTATGGTAAGTGCCCACCCTTCATTGGCTTCAAGTCTCCCAGTCTCTGGCTGGCCCATTCTGTCCTGCTGGGCTGCTGATCCCCCTAACCCCATCTCTCCAGGGCACCGAAACTATTTCCAGGACATCCAGATGATGCTGGGGTTTCCGCCACCTCTCTTCTTCCAGATCTGTTGGCGTTTTGTCTCTCCAGCCATCATCTTTGTAAGTTCCTCAGTCCCCCATCACCACTCCCCCACCCCTCCCATTCCTACTGCTCCTTTGGCCAGGTGTCCTCTTGGGGACCAGCAGAGCAAGAGCAGGAAAACATCCACCCAGCCAGAGCTGAAGGGCTTTGGGGATCTGAGAGGGCTGGATAGTTAGTCAGATGTGTGAACACTCGGGAGGTGCTAGGCCCTGGCCTTGAGTTAGCAAGGGGTTATTGAGCCCTTTATTTGATTGAAGCCAATAGTCAAGCTCAGAACTACAACAACTTAAGAGACACAGCTCACTTCCTGGCATTGGTGCCCAGCTGCCTCCAATGGATCTCAGGAGTTGTTGATGCTGGTGTGGCTTCTGTCTACCTAACTGCTCTTACCCTAGATGTTCATGGAGGCCGCTCCCAAGCAGGGAGACAGATGGCAGATGTATGGGAATGTGGCAGCATTCCTGGGCAGCCTAGGACCTGTTGGTGCAGGGCTAGGAGTTAGGTCAGCTCTGGGCCTCCAAGGCTGGGAAGTTGGCTGGCTTTGGAGGCCGCATCCTTGTTTCCAAGAACATTCATCCTAGGGCTGCATGGTAGGCTCCCAGCAAGGCAAGGAGCCAGGCCATTCCTTCACCCTGTTCACATTAACTCATGGAGCACCTCTCTGCGATATCACTGTTCTCTCCATCCTACAGATAAGGAAACTAAGGCACAAGGATGTTAAATAGGCCCACACACTTAGTAAGGGCAAGAGCCCCAATGCAGACCAAACCATGCTGTAGGAGGAGGTGCTAAAACTTGGCTCACTTTGCTGCTTGTTTGAGGTGAGAAGGGGGAGGGGCTGAAGGCATAGTAGTCACTATATAGGAGGGTCACAGTGTCCACTCAGTTGCTTCGTAGGGCTCACTCAGTGGCACAGCAGTGTTCTCCGCAGTTCCTCGGAGTCATGGAGAGCTCTGTAGCAGACTTGCACACTGGCTCATGCTTCTGAAAAGAGGCCCCAGGCCTCCACCACATGCGGTGTGGGATATTCCTGAGCCTGGCACAGGCAACAGTTTTGGCCACAGGCCCAGCACTGAAACAGGAGGAGTGGAAGTCTCCTTTCAAGGCTGAGAGGCTAGAGTGGCTAAAGCCATGGCCTAGCACCATGCCCTTCCTCCGGGGCTGTGGAATTGGCCCAGGACACATCCTCCTATTACCTGGGGTCACCTACTCAGGGCCTTGGCGGGGATCCTGTGGGTCCTCTAGGAGTAGAGATGGAGGGAAGCAGGTAGGACAGGAATCCGGACTAGCCAGACAGAGTCATGTTCTCTCTGGGGCTTTCTATGCCCTCGAATCTGACAAACAGTATCCTTCCCAAAGTCCAATGAAGGAATTTGTCCTCACATACATCAAGCTTGGCTAAGCCAGGTGTGGTGGCACTTGCCCTTAACTCCAGCCTCAGGGAGGCAAGAGGCAGAGGCAGGTTGATATCTGAATTTGAGACCAGCCTGGTCTACAAAGAGTGAGGCTGTCTCAACACACACACACACACACACACACACACACACACACATACATACACACACACACACTCACACACACACTCACACACACACACTCACACACACACACTCACACACACACACACACACTCTCTCTAACTCCCACTCCCTCTTATTCCCTCCTCCCCCCTCTCCTTCCCCTTCCTTCCTCCCTCCCTCTCTCTCCAGGCTCTGCTAGATTACAAAACTCATACACTTAGTTTATGTGTTGTGCCCCAGGAAGGATGCCCTAGGTTCAGTGTGGGAAAGGTTAGAGAAACTTGAACTCCAGGATGCCCTGAAAGGCTAAGAGGCATGTTGAGTTTACAGGGCCCTCTGGGTGTGGGCTACAAGCCAGCCACCACCTGGCTAAGTCTATTTCTTTTAGATTCTTTGCTTGCTACAGCCACTGGCCTCACTTCTAGCCTCATCAACCTCTTTCCAAAGACTTTTTCCAGTCAGTCTCCTACCTGACACTCAGCCTCTGGGCATTCTCCAGGCTTAATACCACTGTTACCACAGCTATAGTGAAGCAGGGCCTTGCCTGGCCTGTTCCTCAGCCCCCTCCCGATCCCCCTATCTCCTGGCACAAATCAGCTCAAACAGATCAATGAGATTGGGTAAGGCACCTTACAGCCAGAGTTAATGCAACCGTAGGTGCTTGCAGGACTATGGGAAATAGGAAGCAGGGCAGATCTGAGTAAGGCAGATGGGAAATACCATGGAGAAGCCTTTTAGGAAGCAGAAAATCCAGAAAGGCTTCCTGAAAGAGGTGGCATCAACTCAGGGCCTGGCAGGAATGCTGAGGACGTGTGTAGAATGAATGGAGGAGGTAGGAAGAAAATGCTGAGTGTGGTGGAAACCCAAGGCAAGGAGTGTGGCCAGCAAGATAACAGGTCATCTGGCAGAGTTGAAGCTTAAGGCCAGAAATTTGTCCTTATCTCGATAGGCAGTACAGAGCCTAGAGAGAAAAATAGCTGCTTCCCAAAGGTGGTAACAGCTTGCTTGTTCTCCGTCAATTCAGGACTCTGGCAAAAACACCTCTTTTCCCTTTATGGTGCCGACACACCCAACCATCCTGGGGCAGTGGGTTCCTCCTGCTTCTTTTGCTCAGGTTGCCCATGCCCTGACCAAAATGCGGTTTGCTGCCTTGGGTGTCTGGAGAGGAAGGGTCACTGCTAGGAGGGCAAGCTGGGGTCCAGGTGGGGCTCTGGCCAACCTCACGCCATCCCACCTCTATCCTCTACAGTTCATTCTCATCTTCACGGTGATCCAATACCGGCCAATCACCTACAACCACTACCAGTACCCAGGCTGGGCTGTGGCCATCGGTTTCCTCATGGCTTTGTCGTCTGTCATCTGTATCCCATTGTATGCACTCTTTCAGCTCTGTCGCACAGATGGGGACACACTTCTTCAGGTGAGGAGTGAAGGCGGGCTGGGCAGTCAGGTGAAGTGGAAACACTTCGAGCTTAAAGGTTCTCTTCTGACTCAGTCTTTTCCCTGCCCCCTGCCTGCAGCGCTTGAAAAATGCCACAAAGCCAAGCAGAGACTGGGGCCCTGCCCTCCTGGAGCATCGGACTGGGCGCTATGCCCCTGCCACAGCCCCCTCCCCTGAAGATGGCTTTGAGGTCCAGCCACTGCACCCGGACAAGGCCCAGATCCCCATTGTGGGCAGTAATGGCTCCAGCCGCCTCCAGGACTCCCGGATATGAGCACAGTGGTTGCAAGGGGAGAAGCCCCACCCAACCCTTGCTCCCACCACAGACACTGGGGAGGCAGTGGACAGGTGTGACCACCTGTCCCACCATGCCCTGGCCAGGACAGTGCTGTCACCTTGGCCACCACTGCTAGTGCAGACGTTTGTGCTCATGTCCCCAGTGTTTACACATCCTTTGGATGCCAAGACAGCAGTTAAGGGTGGGAAAATGACAGGAGCGTTGCTGCGGGGGTGGGGGCATCCAAAGCACTTTGGAGGGGGTCTCAGGCCAGGTCCCAAGAGGCCTGCCAGGCTCCGTATGGCCTCTGATGCCCTCATACTTCACCCTGAGCTGTCTGACTAGGGGATAAGAGATCCCACACCCCACTTGTTGCCCTCCAGCCTCCTGACCAGTGTTCTTGACTGCAGCCTCTGCCCAGTCAAACCTGTATCTTCCTGCTAGGAATAAGGCGAGGAGCTATGGGCTCACAGTGTTACTTAGACTGTATCACCCAGCCCTGTTTATTTGTGTAATTATTTTTGTAAAAATGGTATCATCTGTGGTTGCCACCCCCTGCCCCAGCCTTGGATCCAGTCTGTCTTCCAGGTCTGCCTGCACCTCACTTGGCTGCTCCAGAGCCTCTGCCCTTTGTCCCAAGCCCTGGTTGTCAGGCCCAGCCAGCCGAGGCCATGACCCAGCAGCCTGCCCAAAGCACTTACAAGGGGGAAAGAGACGGGGCTTCTCAGTAGGATGAGCCCAAAGCCCTGGGGAAGGGGACCCTGCACAACATTCCCTTGTCCACCCTCTACCAGGTCGAAAGCCCAGTCTCCCCAGATGTGCTACCCCCATTCAGTGTGCCAAATGGTCCCAGTCCACGTGCCCGTCCCCCTCTGCAGTCAGAGCTCCTTCTTCCAAACCCTGCAGTGACCGTTTGTCCATCCTCTGTGCTCTCTGCAGTGACAGCCCTGGCCAAGCCACCTCTAATCCTCTGTAGCAATAACGGTGTGCCGCCCACCACTGCCCATTGTGCACCACTAGGGTTTTAAAGTCCGTAGATTTTAATGAAATTTCTATTCCTGTCTCTGAGCTGCTGCTGTGCTTTGTCTGGGTCCCTTGGGGACAAAAGTCAGGCTGGGATGGGACCTCTGTTTGCCAAGCTTCTGTGGAGGCCTGAGTGGAAGAGAGGGTCCAGAGCTTTGATGGTTACAACAGGTGTTCTGCCACTCAGTCCTAGATACCAGTGACCTGACAAGGGGTAGGGCTGGGACCAGACTAACACACAGCTTTGTGGGGACTGTGTGAGCTCATCTGAGAATGAAGCAGAAACAGTTAGAGCTATGGCAGCTGGAGTAACAACAGATGGGGGAGTTACAGCGGAAGCCTGTTTTGTGACCAGCCCTTCAGGTCGGAGCTTGGGATGCTGCGCTGGACACTGCTGTGCAAGTAGGCTCTTCCCAATAGCTGTATCGAAGTTGCCGTCCCCAGCGGCGGGTGGTTGCTTGACTTTGAGGGTGGGGGCAATGTTCCGAAGGAGGTGTAGGCATGTAGCCATGGAGACAAGGAAAGAGTCTGAGGCCCGGAATGGACCTCAAGGGCTTCTGCCTGCACAGGACAGGTAGCTGTGAGATGACCCATGACCCTTAGCACTACCCTGTCCACCCTGTGTTTTGGTGTACCTGTGCCTGGCAGAGATACCGGAAGGCCCCAGAGAGACTTGTAGCTCCTGTTCCATGGCCGCCTTCTGTTCCTTTATCTCTGAGGAAGGGCATAGAGACAGTACCTGACTCTTCTAGAGTATGAACAATGTGGGGAAAGGTAGGGGGCAGGGTACACTGGGGGCTTGCCTGGGGCCCTTACCTGCCAGGGTGGGCTCTAGAGTGGCCTTAGAGGACTGGCAAGCCTGCATCTGCTCCATTTCCAGACAGTGCTGTGGAGAGAGCTGGTTCAGGGACCCTGTCTAAAGGTGGAGACCATGAGCCCTAGTGTAGGGCTCAGGAGCAAGACCATGACCATGCAGCCTTGCAGCCTGACTATCATGAGCGCATAGCCCATGGAAAGCCAAGCTTAACAAGACAGTAGCTGGGCATGCACTCAAGTGAGAGGAGGCAAGAGACCTGAGGCTGTCAAGTGGGTTAGTCCTCTGAAACAGAAGATATGGGTGTAGGACTCCCACACCTTGACATGCACATAGTTACACAGACACACACGTGTGATCCCTCCAAAGCAGAGAACTTGGGGGAAGGTTCGGGGCTGTGCTCACCTGCAGCTCAGAGACCTCTTTCTGCAACATGTGGCACTCCTCCTCCAGGAGGTTCCTAGACAGGAGCATGGGCAGCCAGAACCAGTGAGCAGGACCTCCCCGACCTCCAGAACCACCAGGGGCCACACCAGCCCCTCCATTTTCATGTCACATTGTTCTCTGGGTACTGCCTGGGCCCACCATTTCTAGTTGCTACAGTATGTGCACCACCACAGGCACCATTCTCTTCTGTAGCCTGGTACTGAGCCTTGGCTCATCCTGCCTCCATTAGCCCCCCCCCCCATCACAGCCTGCATATAACCTTCCCTTGGCTCTCCTTGTGCCTGGGGCCCTGGCCCCTCCTGGTCTGTACTTGGCTACTTGCTGGTATTATGACTGCCCCCCCCATAGTCTATCTACCTGCGCACTCCCTTTCAGGCAGTCCCAGCCCCTTAAGATCCACCCCTGTCTTCTTGCACCCAACCCACACACACTCAAGTGCCCCTAGGCCTCACCTCAGGTGTCTAGCAACCTGGTCAATGTTAGACACATTCAGTTCATCCTTGATGGCACTGAGGTCCCTGTGACGGCTGCTGACAGGTGAAGTTAACACCATCCCCTCCGTGTTGCTCATTCTAGTCCTTCAGGGAACAAATGCCACTTCTAGATAATTTTGTTTTCCTTGCACAAGCAACATAATATAGTACAAACAATAGTCCAGAGCCCAGGCTTGCACGTGGCTTCTGTCATCTTCCCTGTGTGACCTCAGGGAAATTAACTTTCTGAGTTTTTTTTTTTTTTTTGTCATCTAAATACTGGGGACAATGCTTAGCTTACAGGATTGTAGGAGAATTTGAATAAGAAATTGGTGCAGTCTACTTATGAACACAAGACCATTCCTTTACCCTATTCTGTCCCCAGCTGAGAATAGCATTTGTCACCTCCTTTCGGCTCTTTGTGTACCTCTAGTGCAGTCCTCAATCTTGTTCACTAGGCATGCGATGAACTGCTCACTAGACATGACCTCCTAATCTCTCCTGCCTGCAAAAACTCCTCTCTCCTTCATTTGCCTGGAAAACTGCTCTTCAGACTCCAGGACCCAGACCTAAGCAGGCATTCTCCCAACAAGCTTTGCCTGCTTCCAAGCTGGGCAGGTGTCCCCTCAGCACTTCAGCCCTCGTGTGCCAATCCCTATCACAAGTGGCTAAGTGACTTTAAAAAATCCAGCCCCAGAATGAGAACTCTTCTATGGAACTGGATGGGACGCACCAATTGGTTGGGGCCTTCTGCCTGGTAGAGATAGAGCCTCCCTCTTTACTGTTGCTTTACCTGGGTTCACCAGCTCTCCTCTGGGACAGTTCCTGTGGTGCTGAGTCACACCTGGGCTCCTCTAAGGCAAAGCGAAGGACCCTGGGATTATACTGGGCCCATGCCTGGGTCTGGTCCCTGAAAACATGTGCATGAAGGGACCTGAGGGCCTCCTTTCTGGAAACCACAGGATAGGCCACACTGGCTCTCTATCCAGGGCAGCCCATCTGATTGATGTCTGTGCAAGGTGGCCAGGCCTGAGACTCCCACCTGCCCTCACAGATAGCCTTAAGGCGGAGGCCTTGGAGCAACTGTCGGAGTTCTTGGCGCATGATATCCCTCAAGAGGGGTGGTGGTGCCAGGAGGGAGGGAAAGTCAGAGACGGGGTGGGATCCAGAGGCTTGAGAAGATCGAAACTCTTGAAGCAGTGCCTTTAGCATCGCCACCTGCAAGGAGAGCTGGGGCACCTTGCCACTGGGGCAGAGGGGATGGGTGTGTGTGTTGGGGCGAGGGGATTACAGGGATGGGGGGAGTCAAAACAGGAGAGAAAGGGCAGACAGTGAAAACAAGGTATTAGGGGATCACCAAACAGGGTTAGGGGCCTGACCTGGTGGAGGCAGGAAACCACGTGAGTTGTAGGGCAGGCCTGGAATGCGACCCACCCCCACCCACCGGACTCCCACCTCCTCTCGCAACTCCAGGCTCAGGTCCACCGCTGCCTCCCCCAGAATCCTCTTCACTTCAGGCCGCTCCGGGAGTGGGACATGCTCCTCCACCAGCTCCCACAGTACTGGGGAGTCCCGGGACATGGCCTGAGCTTCGCAGGCCCCCTGTTAAGAATTATGCAACGGGCCGACAGCAGGTCAGAGTGCTAGACTTCCTGGGAGACGGATGGTTGCTCCGGACCAGAGCCACGCCCACCGAGCCCCTCCCATTGACATTGAGGCCCCGCCTTGTTCTGCCTATGTTCCCCACCACAGTGGAATTGTGCTGTCTGTTGGTGTCTCTACTTCGGCTGACCCTCTTGGGTCCGGGATTCTGACCACCTCTGGTGAAAACCAGGCTGTGGGAGCCTGGCCTTAGTCCCTTCCCTCCCAAGAGGCGGTCACCTGGGAAACCACCGAGCCCCAAGATCGCCCTCGAGAGAGGCCCCGCCCTGCCCACGGTGGTTGAGCCACATGCTAGTCAGCTAGCACTTGGGCTTACCCAGGGGCACCTTTCTATCTCGGAGTAAGTAGAACTGGTAAATTTGGTCCGGTTGGGTTCGCTATTTCCTTACCTTTACTAGCCTGAAGGCAGCACCAAGATAAACTTTCTCCCTAGAACAGTGCCGGTAGGTAGGGGCTTGGACGTTTATTAAGTCCCAAGATGGCCCTGGCCAGGTCAACCTCCCACAACACAAACTGGCTTCTGGGAACCAGATCCCATTTGCAAACAGACATGGAGCTGTTCCATTAATGTTTTTTACTAAAGCACCCACACAAGTTCTGTGCAACATATAAACATGAGCAGGCCCTGGGGCTTCTGCCTCCTCTCTAAGGCAGGGAGGCCAGAATCACTGACTGATCCAAGCCCCACCTGTCCCCCATGCAAAGGCCAACCCCATGGTCCCAGGAAACACAGCACCCCTTCTGGTCCCCTCCTGGGGGCGCTTCTCAGTAGGTGGCTAACCAAAGCTGCCCCCTACAATGTTGAATGAAAAAGGTTTCCCCTCCCCTGGAAGCATGAGGGATCTCTGAGAATTCCCCCTGGAAGAGACACTGCCCCCTAATCAATCCTCCCACCTTTCCAGGCCCTAGGGGACTCAAAGGGGTGGGAAACCGAGGCACAGAGAGGTGGAGTGACCCAGCCTAGGCCACTCCTCGAGGCAGTGCAGGGGCTGGCCCAACCCTAAAAGTGAGGAGGTTTGGGCTGGGGGAAGTAGGGCAGGAAGGATTGGCCTCAGACAGGGCCATAAGACGGGCTTGCCCAGAAGCCCCTCAAAGTGGGTTCTGAAACTTCCAGGTGCAGCTGGCTGTCTATTAAGACACTCAGAAAACAGCTCACAGTCTCAGTCTTGGGGACACCCCCAGAGCGGCTGTCGGCCAGGCTGTAAGTCAGTCCTCTGGCAGGCAAACCTCCACATCAGAAGGGCATGGAGGGCCTTTGTCCATTAGTGTCAGCCTTGGTTGAGCCATGACATGGGTCGTCCAATGTCCACTGTGATGTTGGTGAAGAGTGGTTGCCGAGACACTTCCAAGACTCGGTACCGCACTGATCCAATGCCATCCCACTTCATGCTCATCTTGGTGTTCTGAATCTTATTAAACCTAGAAAGGGAGATGCGTTCAGATAAGGCTCAGTCTTGAATCTCTGGGCCAAGGCATAGGCCTGCCTCTCCCTTTAGGGACAACTTGACAGAAGTCCATTGCTCTTACAGTTGACTTCAAAATAAATACCTCACCCACTCTGGTCATAAGCATAACTACAACATTCTCACAGGTCTCTCTGTTCAGACCTTGACCATATATACAATTTTTATTATTACAGGGGCATGTGTGTAGAGGTCAAAGGACAATTACAGGAACTTGGGTCTTTCCACCTTTACAAGGCTCTGGGGATTGAACTCGGGACTCCAGGCTTACCCATGAAGCACCTTTACTCACTGAGTATCCTGCTGGCTTAACTGTAATATCTGAGGCAACCCCATGTACCTCCACTGCAGTATATATCCCATGTGAGACACGTCATCTTTACTCTCCTAACCCCTGCCATCTCCTCTGTTTCTCTTCCATTAGTCACTCCTTTCATATCTGCTCCTGTGTGCCAGATTGTACTCTGAGCAACAGGAACATAGCCATGAACAGGACAGGCAAGGTCCTTCCTCTCACAGCAAGTTTGCTTCACTAAGGGAGACAGACACCAGGCAAAGGAAACATCAGAGTGCTAAGGGTACAAATGACTCCCCTGGGAGAAGCAAAGGCAGGGGGAAGAGCATTTTATGCAGAGGTCAGAGCATACAACAAAGGGAAAACAGATTACGACCAGCTTGTCGGCAGAGCATGTATGGGCAGGACTCTCTAAGTCATAATAAGCACTTCATATTCCGTGAGCAAGAAAACACCAAGGGATTCTTAACCCACTTTCGGCAGAAAGATAGGATGGACTATGGACGGGCAAGGGGGAGGCAGGAAAATGCTTGCAGTTGTCAGTGTAAGATCACAGAGACCACACCAGGGTAAAGGTGGAGGACTAAGATGGGTAAAAATGCTTTGGGGGTGGTACTGGCATGCTTTGCTAATGACTTGAACATGTGGGGTGGGGGGAAGAATCCTGGACAGTTTCAGGCAAAGAGTATTGGAACTACCATCCAGACTTCTTCAGCCTGGAAATTTCATGCTGTCTAGCCATATCCACACTCAAGCAGGCATCACTAACTGATGCTAGCTAATTCTACAATGAGACCAAGGCTCCTGTCATTTATCTGCCTGTCATCCCTTCCCTGCTGACCATGGTTTCATCTAAACTACATGCTTTTCCACAGGCTCCCTGGACTCCTGGTGCGGTCTCATGCTTCTGCCAAATTCCAGCCCCAAGTCAGTCTTTCCATTCCTATAGTCTGAGTTTAGAGCAAAAAGTCAGGGGACACAGAAGTCCCAATGGTCTTTCTCCTGCCATGTCCCCTCCAGTTTTATGTGGTAAATTCTCCTTAGGTCTACCCAGCAGCTGGGCCAGCCCTTCACTTTCCTTGAGCTCAGAAAGAAAGCCTTCCAAACAAATTCAGTGCTGTCCTCCCTGTCTGGGAACTTCCCCCGGGAAGAAAGTACTCAGCTACATAGGACTGATACCTCTGCTGTGGCTCCCAGCTTTCTGCTGTCTAAGAACCAATTAGCTTTAAGGTTTCAGTTTATGCCACACATGCTCATATTCAACTCTTACAAAGACAAGTCTCTATATCTACTCTGGCCTTCTCCATCAGCCAGCCAATAAAGCATGGGTGAATATATGCCCAAGGACATGTGAGGCAGATTTCAGCGAATGAGTGACTTTTCAAGCCCCACTTCATGTTCCCATGAGCTCGCTCCTTCGCTGCCAGGAAGGCACCTGGCTTCCATGATCCTGTGGCATAACTGTTTTCCTTGCTTAGTGAGAACCTCATAAGGGAAAGTAGGATGGGGGTTGGGTATGACTCCAGAAGGCTTGGTACCACTCAAGAGATGTATCTGGAAGCTGGAGGAGTCTTTGCTTGTATTCCACATGCCTACAAGACCTTTCCCAGCCAGCCTAAACATTTAACGTGGGTATCTCAACCCTAAAAGGAGCTGGCTGCTCTGAGTGGCTGACACTGTCTTCGCTCTCCCTCCTCACACTTCCTCTGCTCAGTGCACCTTTGTTGGATTCCTAGGGTCCAAGGCTAGCACCCACTATCTGTCATCTTATCTGCTCTGACAGGGCCAGTATAAGCAGGGGTCATTTAAGGTACACACATGAGGAATTTGAGTGTACTAATGGATTTGCAGTCTATGCAATGACAACCCAAACTGGAATTTAAATTCTAGTCACCTCCAGGAGCCAACCCGCGGATGCAAGGAGTCACCTTTAGAGACCAAAGGTCAGGAGCATTAGGGTCATTTCTAGGGATAAGATGCCTCTAAAAGGCATTTCCCAGGGGCCAAGGATGCTGAGAGGCCTCCTCTATGGGGTCAGAGATCAAAGGCATTTGGGATACTGGGAAGTTACCTCTAGGGAGCAAGGGATCAGGGGCACCTGGGGTCAGGGGTGCTGGGGTCACCTCTGAGGGTTGGGCTCGTTATGTTTGTCCCGGTCGTGCTTGATCATGCGGTAGCGGCCTATCCGGACATCTGGGCGTGAGATCTTCATCCCAGTCAGGGAGATCCTAGGATGGACAACAGGCAGACTGAACAGGCACCAGGAAAGGTAAGGAGCCCCAGCCAGTCTGTGACTCCTCACTCCCTGACCCAGCCTACTCTGCCCCATCCCTACTTACCGGTTGAAGATGTCATCATCCTCACCGCCCCAGCCCCAGTACTCGTTGGGAAAGCCGTTGATCCTCAGAAACTGGGCCTTACTCAGGCCTGACACACCTCCAAAGTAGCTAGCATAGGGCAGCCTATGACATGGGAGAGCAGGCGTTAGGATCACAAGGGGGATTTAAGATGTAGGATCACAGATGGTGTGTGAGGAGCATGTGTAACTAGGACCCAAGGAAGAGCTATGTTACATAGAAGGATCTGAACCAGGGGCCAGAGCTAGGAGGACACTAAAGCTGGGACTATGGGCCTGTGTGAAGTAAGGATGGGCAGGTCCAAGTCTCGCTAAGTAAGTCTCACCGGAAGCCAAACTTGTCCATGGCAATGGCAAAGTGGCGGGGCTGGTCACCACAACGGTACAGATTGCGGTCATCCATAGGGACCAGGTCCACATCACTGAAGATGAAGCAGTCATAGGTAGCATCCTCCTTCAGTGCCTCTAGGAAGCCTATGTTGAGCAGCTTGGCCCGGTTGAAGGTCTCCTCACCATGCTGGTGGGTAGGTAGATGGACACAGATCAGCTCTGGGTCTGTGACCAGCAAGTACCTGCCACTTCTGTTTCCAGCATGATCCCAGGAGCCCACATAATTGTCCCCCCCCCACATCCTTATAACGCTCTTAGATTCTCAGGTTGATCCCTCATTCAGAGACCTTTTATAGTTTTAGTCTCCAATTTGGTATGGTCAGATTCTATGGTCCAACCATATTATATTCCTTAGGCATCACAGAACACGGTGGACTGTTTTGTTCAGGCACTGAGGTTATTAGCAGTTCCCTCTATTCTTTATTTGTT